GGCGTGTAAGGAATGATAAAAACATGATTTCGAGGACGAAATCTAATTTAAGTGGGGGAGAGTTGTAACGCCCCATTTATTTAAATAAATTAATAAATGTAAGTCCCGAACTGGAATTTTAGATGTTGAGGGTTAAAAGTGTAAATTACAGATTAGTTTTGTAAGTGTTTATGAAGGCAGGGACTAAATGGAAATTATTGGGACTTCATTGAAAAGATTTTAGAGGCCTAGGGGCTGTTTGGTAAATTCCATACCTAAGCTGTAATGGATTCTAATATTCAGGGTTTAAAGTGTAAGTTTTAGATTTCATTTGAAAGGATTTCATGGGGAGGGACCAGAAATGTAATTATGGGGAAATGGTTATTTTGGAAGAGTATATATGCGTTACTAAACCCTAACCCCAACTGGTAGCACTAGCCGTCATCCCCACCTTATCACCCCTCCTCCAGCCGTCATCACCGACTCTTCCCCCTTGTTTCTCCGATCAGTCGCCAACGAGTAGGACCACCGAAGCCAGCAGCCTTTCCCCACCTTTCTGACCGAGATCTTTGTTGGAGACCAAGTCGGAGCAAAGGTCCCTAGCCGCCGCAACCATGGGAATGACTTCAATCGTTGCTGCGTCGCCGTGGGTTGCTGCCGTCGCAGCCCCGTTGCCGGTAACGATGTGTTCGTCGTGATAGCCGCCAAGACCGACGACCGAGTGGAGTTTTGCTACTGCAAGAGGCGTGAGTGATTAGAAGATCGATGGTGAGCCTATCCGCCGGCATAGGGCCACTATCCGTTGCTGCTGCTGATCTTTGTGCCAGTCGATCTGCAACGCCCCTCTCCGCCTCCTTCCACCGCTTTCCCATGTCGATGTTCCACTATTGTTGTTGTTGGAGGTTACTGTTGTTGTCGGACCACCGTGAGCCACCAGGTGGGTGGTTAGGTCCATAGTACAAATGATAATCATGTGTGTGGGGCTGTATTTCCATATTTAGTGTGTGTTATGTGTGTGTTGTCTAGCCGGAATTCCCAAGAACAGCCGCCGGCCACCGGTAAGGTGGTTATGTGCGTGTGTTATAATTAGTTAGTGTGTGTGTGATCATTTTGAATTAAGCACTGTAATTGTAATTTAGCAAGATGAATAATAAAAAGAAACTCAAAAACCACCACCGTAAGGTGGTGGCCGCTGCCGTGTGCCGCCA